AATCAACTCTTCCGTAGGTTCCCTTGATTCAAATGGACCTAATCTAACTGCAACGTAATTTAATATAGTAAGTGACAGAGTAGTTCTGTTTGAATCAATGGAACTTATGCAGGAGTTGAGTCAGTAAATCCCCACTGCTTCAGTGGATCTACTCTAGTGCGACTTCTTATGCTAAGCAACAGGATTTTGGCCAAAGTGTAGAAGTCAATTTCTACCACAGTGCTGGCTGTCCTAATTAGTGGTGCTTCTCTTTGTTAGTAGGCCCCTTGGAGTAAGCTGTTTGTGCAGATTCTGAACATAAGCAGGAGCTCTCTAGTCTGATGGAGTATGTCTTAGAACTGGAATCTGTCACCCATGGAACGAAAGAATACTGCTGTAATCAACGGGCAATCCTGGTAGAACTGTCCTCTAGTAGTATTTATGTACAGCCCAACAATCCATTTGGTATTCGTAAGTTCTACTGTGATAAATTGGATATTAGCCCTTAAGTATGGGTTGAATTTACATCCTTTATTTCTTCTTGTGTGGGCATGTGTGTGTTTTACATATGGAAAAAAATCTTTGTTTTGTAAAGATATTATTGTTAAATTTATAAGAAAAGGGAGTTGAAAAAACTCTTTGTTTTGTAAAGATAAATTTATAAGAAAAGGGAGTTGAAAAAAGTACTGTGATACCAAAGAAGGTCTGTCTTTTCTTTTCGTACTCCCAACTGCCATCCTTCATCTTTTTTTCTGAATCCACAATTGGTTTGCTAAAGAAATGTGTTTTCAAATAAGTTGTGGTTGCAATTTCCAAAGGTTGAGCAGGAAATAATAGCTAAAGGTGCCTTAAATTGTGGTTTGACTTCAGTAAGTGAATTGTGACATTGACATCCTTCCTTTCCTGAAAGGAGCAGAAGGCAGTATACTTTGTCCCCCACCCCACTACCAAGTGAGGTAGTTTGGGTAATTTGAAGAGACCCTTGTCCAGCAGGCCTAGGCAAAGAGGCCGTCCCGAAAGCAGCAAAATCAGGGAACTGGACAGGGGACAGATTGTATTTGTCTTTAGTGTGGAAGGGATTGTCACTCTTGAATTGGCCTTCTCAGCCACACTAGATGTTGTTCCAAGACCTCTATTCAGAGCATGTTTCCATAGTCTCTCGAGACTGAAGGATGCCTACAGAGTTTAGGCTGATACAGTGACTAGCATAATATTTGAATCCAGGTCTCCTGCCTCCTAGCTTAGCATTCTAGTTACCACTACTGTGTTTTTTGCATGTGTTTCATGGTCTCAGTAGCTGCTGTATTTGTTTTCCCATACATTTCTCTTCAAACAAGCATGGACTACGTTACATTAAAGTACAGCTCTTCTGAATGAAGACACAACAACAGACATGAGTGGCTATATTAGGAGCTGGAAACAAACATTGTTTCCAGTGCAGTCCTACATTTGCCTGCTCAAAAGTAGTTCCCATTGACTTTACTGGGGCTTACTCTGAGGTAAGTAGGTATAGGAATGCAGCCTTAATTAAGTTTTAAGAGATTTTGCTGTTTTTTAACAGTCCCAGTCTGAGTTTGATGGAATGAGCTACTGTGCACTTGGGAAGGTATTGAAATTGGGTGGGTGGGGGAAGCAGCTGTCTGTTAATTGATGTTCCTTAGAATGAGAGGTTGGACAGAATTACTTTTACTGCTGGCTGTGTGTGTGTGTGTGGGGGTTTAAGGATACAAATGGGCAGAAGGATCACTATAATGTCCACCTGACATAGTGAGGGGAACTATGGGAGTTGTAGTCCTAAGAGTAACATTTCCTTTTCTCAGAACACTTACCTGAATTGGCTTGTCAATGAACGACTCCTTAACTTAATTTGGTTGCATATGTAAGGCCATAATTATGAGTGATTACAATATTATTTTTTAATCTCTCAACTCTTTTGAAGTACATTTATGTGGAAAGTAGGAGTTCCAATCCGGTTTAGTGATTAAGTATAAGCCTGGAAGCTGTGTTGGTTAATTAATCTAGAATGCAGGCGTGTAATCTCGGGGGTGGTGGTGGTGGCTGGGAAGGGCTGTGTTTGGGGGTGAGGTGGAAGGAATGCAGATTTCTTTAAAGCTGGCAAGAAATGTTTGTGTTACTGATTCTCTGGAACATTAGAATTGTGCTGCATGTTTGGCTGAGCTCTAAAGCTGGAATGCAGGTGTCTGGAAACTGACTTTCTTATAGTGGATATTGTTTTAATTGGAGCCATGAGTAAAGTGGACAAGGTGTGACATAGACATGGCATCTCTTTCCCCCTCAAGTGGAGACACTCCTCTGTATGTAGAATATATAGATAATGTATGTCAAGTTAATACCTATCTACATATGACCATGGCAGTATTAGGGAATATAACTTACTGTGGGCCAAAATACTTCTGTCAATAATCTGGTGGATTATCCCTAGAAGACTTTGGTTCAGAGATTTATGGAAAGCTCGTCTTGATATTGGGAATCAAACCTGCCTGCATGGCATCATGAGCTCAGAGACCCAGGTTTAGTCCTCACTGAGCTATCAAACTCTGCTGAGTGACCTTCATTTTTTGATGAAGAGAGGCATCTATTCCCTGTCATCCTGGCCTATGTTTCAGAGACAGTGTGAGAATAAAGTGGGAAGGAAATGAATGCTGCACTGAAGGGAACTGGTCAGCTTTTTCAACACCGAGAGCCTCATCTGGTGTCAGCCAGAGGCTACACATGCCCACTCACACATAGTGCCCCCCCATACATATTCTTGCCTTCTGTTACACATACGAATGGGCTGTGATAAAAACTTGGGAGGATTCTCCTGGTTTTAGGGATCACACAGAGTGTGAATGAGGGCCCCATGTAGCCCACATGCCTCGGGTTGTGCACATTGGAGTAGATACATTTTAAAATTGGAGCAAAATATTCTGTTTTAATTTTTTTTATTGCCTTCAGCAAGTTGTGCAACTTGCATATGAATGAAGCTTGGATACTGTACTTTGTTTTCTGCAAAGCTGGTCTCTTTTTCAGTTTCTTTGTTGCATGTTCTAGTTGGATAATCTGATTGCTTTCCTACCAAGGAATTTACCCAAACAAAGACGTTGTTTTCATGTTGAACTTCTTTCCTAACCTTCTAGTGTTTCACTGAACTCTACTGTTCTGTAGTATCTCTAGGGAGAATAGGGTTCCTGTACTTTTAATGTTTGTATGTAGAAGACGGAATTTCATTCCTAATCTGGAGATGTCAGGAATTAAATTTGGACTCCTCTGCATGTTAAAGTAATCTGGAGATGTCAGGAATTAAATTAAATTTGGACTCCTCTGCATGTTAAATGTGTTGAAGTACAGCTCTGGTCTGTTCTTGCAGAACTGACATCACCATCTTGCAGTGTTCTGTGGGAAGTAAAATGATGCCTTGTAACTTAAGCATACCAGAGTTTTTCTACTTAGACAATCTAACATTAGCTGGTATTTTATAAAGCAACATCAAGTAAAATGCAGTGCAGATTTTCATGTGGGTTTATCTCAAATTAGGGTTTTCACCTTCACCCAGCCCTGCCACAATTGCCCTGTTTTTACCATATTTCTGATGGGCAGATAGTCAGTGGACAGATTCTCTTTCATTGTGTATTCCTACCTGAAATCTTGCCTGTAAAACTATGTAATTCCAGTTTACCTGAAAGTGCCATCTTGCCTGTAAAACTATGTAATTCCAGTTCTGGAATTACATACATACTTCTATATACATACATATATATACATACTTTTCTGCATACGGCTAGGGTTTTCTAGGATTTATCATCCCTTAAAAAGTTACTTTCCGCATCTTTGGTTCACTGGTCCTTTGACATCTTTGTTTTGCCTGTTTGAAAGGCATCCCATTTCACAGCAAGTATACTTGGTTTATTGAACTTTTAATGCTTTCTGTCATAAAGGCTCAAAATGTGAAACAACAGAATGATAAATTGCGGGGGGTGGGGTGTGATATAAGGAAATGCAACATGACTGTTAGAATTTTCCTACCCCCCAAAATAAACTCCAGATCAAATTCTCACATTCATACCTACTGTTGCACAGAATCTGATTCCCTTTGGCTGCATTCAGATTGCAACTAGTCAATGTTATTAGACTAGATGTGGTAAATTGATAAGGAATTCTGACAGTAGCTTTTGGTAGGGGTTTTAAAATTAAAATAAAATGTTGGGGAAATTATGAAGTAGGTTAAGCTGAGTTGCTTAAGAACTTTGGAATTCAGAAGCTAAGGGTATTTTTTTAGACCTGTTGAGTATATAGATGCCCATTTCCACAACATCACATCACTGAATCTAGTTACAGCTGGGAGAGTCACACACTGGGTTGAGCTGAAGATGGTCAGAAGTGGGGAAGGAGATCATAAGAGTGGTACAATTAAAGGACAGAAAGAGGAAAAAAAAAACAGGACAATTAGGCTGCAATTCTGTTCTTAATTTCCTAGGAGTAAACCCCACGGAATGCAGAGAGATTTACTTTTGAATAGATATGTGTAAGATTGCCTCTTTGATCGCAGTGCATTGCTGTGACTCTGTTTAATAATACATAGTTCTAAGGAGAAGCAATAGATAGTCACCTTCTGATGTTGTCCTGTGTGCAGTTTTACTGGGAAATATGTCCTGTTCTAATCTCATTCTGTAAGATTTATTTATTTCAGTCATATTTGCAGTTTCAACACTGTAAGCACTAGACCCCATTGTCTCCCACTTACTATGGGGCCACAGGTCTGAATCCTTCAGAGAGAATTTGAAAATAAATAGATTTGTTTGAACAATTTGAAAGTAAATGCTAGGATTGTTTTCATTGTTTTTTTAGTGCCCACTCCTGCTTTTATTGTTAATGTGTGTGTAACAGTGGATAAGGAGGGCATGTGATTTGAGAGTACAGTATATTTTTCAGGAACAACAATATACTAGAGAAAAGTTGTGGGTATATGATTTTAAAGTGTAGCCAGAAATATGATTACAGCAACATTCTTTCTTATTTAGGTTTGGATGATTGCCTGCAGCAGTATGTCCCCAAATTCGAGCGAGAGAAGATAAATGGTGCTCAGCTGTTACAGATCTCCCACCAGGATCTTGAAGAGTTGGGTATTACCCGGATTGGACATCAGGAACTTGTTTTAGAGGCTGTGGACCTCCTCTGTGCACTGGTCAGTTCATAGAATTAACATAGAGGTGTAATGTTAATCGTGTAATTTTTCTCACCATGCCTGATGGAATGGTTTCTCAAAAGGGAGATGCTCCCAGCAAGAGTGAGCTAGGCAACAGCTCCACAGTCATGGTCACAAGTCTCTTAATGAAATGAAAATGAAGTTGATACAAAGGCAGCTTCACTTCTGTTTAAGTGGTAGCATTGATTGAAATCATGTTGCTCCTACCTTTAGAAAACATTTCAGATTAGTAGAATATGCAGGTTTGCAATGAACTCTCAAACTGAATGCTTGAGATGGATGGGGTCTAAGAATCTGAAATGTAGTTTTCTTGACCATGGCACTGGGGTTTGGCACTCTGGTTACCAACAGGAGAGGTCCAGGCACCCACACACTCTGGTGTGGAATTCAGCTATGGTTGTCAAAGAGTAGCCCGGGCCCTTGTGTTGGTCTCCCAGATGTCTCTTACTGAAATCTACAGCAATAACAACAGCACATTTTTCCTGCTCCTGGAATCCTCTAGATGTAGTGATCTTGCAGCCAAATCCTGTGTCCCCTAGACCTGCAACTCAAAAATGAAACTGGAAATGGACTTCCATCAACATTTGATTTTGACTCCGCATAATTTTTGCTGGTACAGCCCCCTATGGGAGTGGGGAGTTGGAAAGATACTCAGCCCTCAATTAGGTGAATGGATTGTCCTCAGCTAAGGAAAGTAAACAAGGCACAGATTAGCTAGCTCTGTAGAAGTAATGGTATGCTAGAGTAGCTGTCCCATCTTTTGCAGGATTTGCCACCACTTCTTTAAGTTCCTTTGTCAAAGTTGTCCACATTTGTAAAGGAATGGGCTTTTCAAAATAAACAACAAGCATTTCTTTGAGGCCTGGACCCTGAGGTGGGGAATGTGCATTTCATTCTTTGGGTTTGGAAATGTAGATCTGAATATTTAGAAAAGCAGCTTCTCTCTTCTTGTTTACATCTGGTCCAGGGGGCATGCCAATCTTTTATGACAGCAGCATAAAATGAAGGAATAATCTTCCTTAACAAGGGTGGATCCTTTTTTCCTCCTATCTATTCAGGATATTCTCTTTACCCACTTCATCCATCCCTTTTCTTAATTCATATTGCATTCGTGGATTGTGTTAGATACAGTTTACTTTATAATGGGGATACACTTAGCCTATGTGCCTGTTCCAATTCTCTAAACTAGTGCCAAAATACACTGTTTCCTTAGTGAGAATGGTGGGAAAGAATTTTCTGTCACTCTTCTGCCCTTGCTCGGCTACATTCCATTCATTATGTAACACTTTTCATATTTGAGTGTATTCTTCTTAAAATGGGCAGAGACTGGTATAAAGTGTACTCCTGGTTCAGAAGGGGAGGATTGAAATAACTTCTGCTTGATAAATCGAGGTGAAGTGCAGAAATTAAATGACCTGTTATAAATGTTTTACATTTGAACAGTTGACCTAAATGCACTCCGAACTCAGCATTAGACAATTGGAAGCATATTTTTTTTATTTAAAAAGGAAGCATATTTTAACCAAGGAATTATAAACATAGTTCTCCATGCTGGAGATGTGTTTATAGTGTTATGCTGGCAGAAAACATCTGGCAAAATGGTGAGACTATTGGAACTTCTGCCTGGATGAAATGCAATGTGTGGAATAAGTCAATGCATGTTTGATGTTTCATTCCCTGCTTGTTTTAAAGCTGGATTTCCCATATGTCCTTGAAACTCAGTAACACAGTGGCACTGCTGCCCACAGTACGTTTCCAGGAGGAATTGGCCTCTGGGCCAGCTAAAGTTGCCCACTCCTTCTACTACATTCTTTTGCTTCCTAAAGCAGTGGTCCCCAACCTTGGGCCTCCAGATGTTCTTGGACTACAACTCCCAGAAGCCTTCACCACCACCACTACTGGCCAGGATTTCTGGGAGTTGAAGTCCAAGAACATCTGGAGGCCCAAGGTTGGGGACCACTGTCCTAAAGGATGAGATAAAACAGAGCTGAGTGTCTGCCAGAACACAAGGATGTCTTCTTTAGTTTCCTTCTGGTTTCCTTCATAAAACAGAAGTTTCGAACCAAGACTTTTTCAGCTGACAAGTATGCTAAAGGTTCCTAGTAGACATGGGTGCTTCATCCTTGTATCTAGGGTGGCCCAATTCGCACCCCCAGAACTGGCTGGCCCACTTACCGGGCTCCGTGTAGTGCTTGGGTCCTTCTTTGATGGCGGTGGGCCAATTCTTGCAAGAGCCCAGGCAGCCCTTCCTCACCTCCCTGAGCAGCCGTCAACTTATCAGAAGAGCTGGGAGACTCCCTGTCGCCCTTCCATGCTGAAGTAGGCGGCTGCACAAGGAAGTGGGGAAGGGCCCGCCAAGCTCCTGATGGGATTGGTGTGCAGCCACCAAAGAACCTGAGTGCCACATGGAGCCCAGTTCTGGGGTTGGGAATTGGGACAGCGTGGCAGCTGTGGTGCCGTGAGTTGTTTTTCTTATCCCTGGATATGAATACAAAATGCCTGTGTCTAGTTCCCCTAGTTTAGCCGAATTGTTGTCCCACCCCCTTTTAGAGGTAGATTGAAGGATAGACTTTTTTTTTCTCACCATCATTAATGTTTCTTTGGGGAGCGTGGAAAAACGCTACACCATACAGTGGTGGCAGTTGAATGTGAAGCTGTGGCTTGTACTGTACTGGTCTTTTCATTAGCTCTAGTTAAGACTGGCTTTGGTGTTGTCCAGGTTCAGATGCAATAGGGAACTGCCATTAATCTAAAAGGGAACTGAACGTTTCCAAACTGCTATTTACATCTACATTGGAGAAGGATTGGGTGCCCAAGCTCAGGGTCTTGCAATTCTGGATTGTGGCTTGAAGAGCCTCGTGGCACAGTGGTTAAAACTGCTGTACTGCAGCCAAAACTGTGCTCACAACCTGAGATTCAATCCCAGGTTGCTGGCTCAAGGTTGACTCAGCCTTCTGTCCTTCCAAGGTCAGTAAAATGAATACCCAGCTCACTGGGGTGGGGTGGGGGGGTGGGATGTGTAGCCTGCATAATTAACTTGTAAACTGCCAAGAGAGTGTTTGAAGCACTATGGGGCGGTATATAAGCAGCACACCTTGTTTTCTTTACTTTTTTTTTAGTGTTGAACCCAAGTCACCCCAATGTTAATTGCAAATTATTAATTTTTTTTGCTCTTTTCAAAAATGCTATTTCAAAGAAGCTGTTGAGATGAATGAAGTCTAAGCTAGGCATAGGATATTTGTATTAGTATCCCAAAAGTCATAAATATGAATATCAGCACCACCAGTGTCTCTGGAATCCCTGCCCCCCGAAACCTTCCAGTCCACTTACTGCTCTCCGTGCGGTGCACGTAGTTATTGTCAGTCGCATAGCACCAGTTGGGGAAGTAGCCTGGCTGGTGCTTCCCCACCTCTCCACATAGCCGACCACTCCTTGGAAATGAGCAGTTGAGAATGATTGTCAAAGGAGAACATAGTCACTGACCCAAGAGAAAAGGGGAATGTGGAGCAAGTGCCATCAGGGCCAGCATGTCGGCCATTTTGAGGGGTGGGATGTAGCAACCAGAGGCACTGAATCCTTATTTCTTACACCATTTCCCAAGTGTTAATCCAAACAAGAATACTGAGTGTGATCTAGTGGGCAGAGTGATGGACTAGGACTCAGGAGGCCTGCTTTAAATTCCTGCTCAGCCATAGAATCTCACTGGAGAGGCAGAATTGGTAAAAGCATTCTTTAACTATCTCACTTACCCTGAAACCCCTGTTAGGGTTGCTATTAGATAGTTCTGACTTGGCAGCAGATAACACACCAAACAATGTAAGAGGATTGGAGTTGTACCTGTTTAATCCCTACTTAACTGAATTTATTGGATGGCCCTTGGGCAAGTCAGTTTCATTCTCTTGGTAATGTATTAGTGGTGGACAGATTGCAATAAAAATGAAGCCACTGCAACTGACTAATTACTACTGCTGTTTTGAAGGGCTGTGTAAGTAGGCTTAGTAACATTAATTGCACCTTTTTAAAAAATAATGAAATCAAAAACTTAATGGTCCAGTATCACAGTTTGGACAGTACCACATTTTATTTTATTTTTTATTTAAAATATTTTTATGCCACCTTTCTCCCCAAAAGGACCTAATGCAGCTTACTTCATTAAAACAGTATTTAAAAGCTGAAACAGTAAGTATACAAATATTTTAAAAAAAGAATTAAACACGTATTATATTAAAATGGTAATTGAGATCACTATTAAAGCACATTTAAAAAACCAGAGCACAACAGTCCATTTAAAACCCCTCTCAAACCACCCGTCATTAAGGAAAAGCCTTCCTGAAGAGAAAGACCTTTGCCTGTTTGTGGCAGGACAGCAAAGATAGGGCCAGCCTAGCTTCCCATGGCATGGAGTTCCAGAGTCTGGGAGCAGTGACTGAGAAGGCCCTCTTTCATGTTCCCCCCCCCCCAAGTGCAACTGTGAGGGTGGTGGGACTGAGAGAAAGGCCTCCCCTAGTGATCTTAAAGCCCAGGCAGGCTGACAGAAGGACAACATTAATTTTCTTCTCATTTTTTCTTGATGTCTGTAGTAAAACACATGGTTTATTGTGCTCAGAATACTGTCTGTGCAAACCATAATAAGTTTTAGGGCCCCTTGTCCCCCCCCCCCAAGTGCAACTGTGAGGGGGGGGGGACTGAGAGAAAGGCCTCCCCTAGTGATCTTAAAGCCCAGGCAGGCTCACAGAAGGACAACATTAATTTTCTTCTCATTTTTTCTTGATGTCTGTAGTAAAACACATGGTTTATTGTGCTCAGAATACTGTCTGTGCAAACCATAATAAGTTTTAGGGCCCCTTGTCAGAGGCAACTTGATCCACAGCTACTCAGATTAATGATTAACAAAACAGGAATGTTTGACCTTAACGTGTTTTCAGCAATGTGGGTTTTTTCTTTTCTTTTCTATGTGATGACAGGATGTGTTGAGTTGAAATGTGGCCTTGCACATATCCCCTATTGTTGCCTATGCCACTGTGGAAAAAAAAAGTTTTAAAAATAAAACTGCTTTCAAACTATTTGCTGTGGTTCAACTGCAAATATTTATCTCCATGTATAAATTACATCAGCATTCCTGATCCTGGTGCCTTCCAGGTTTCTTAGACTACGGTTCCCATCATAACCAGGCAGCATGCCAGCACATGTGGAAGATTGGCATGGATGGCATGTGGGTAGAGAAAGTAGTAGGAGTTCCAGAGTCCTAATGCTGACACTTGACTCAGTTGGGTGTCTGTCTTTTAAGTAATTATATCCTGAGTCATGCTGAGTACTTTTAATCTTACTACTTATCTTTTGGAGTAACTTTCTCCAAAATATATTCGCGAAGGCTTTCACGGCCAGGATCTAATGGTTGTTCTGGGTTTTTCGGGCTCTTTGGCCGTGTTCTGAAGGTTGTTCTTCCTGACGTTTCGCCAGTCTCTGTGGCCGGCATCTTCAGAGGACAGCAACCTGTACTCTGGTGTAGTTGGCTTGGGAGTGCAGTATTTATGGCTGTGAGATAGGCTTTTGTCTTTTCCTGTAGATGGGTGATTAGTGTGTATTGCTGTGGGTGTATTGTTGTGCTAAGGGGAAGAGATTATTTGTTCCTGTGGTTGATGGGTGCCATTAGCTGGTCTTTTGTGTGTAGTGATCCCCTGTTGTTGTGGGTGGGTAGAGTTCGTTGTCCTTTTGCACGTAATATGTTTGATAGCTGGGAGCCAAGTTTTGTTGAGCTTCATACTTTCCTCTTTTTTGTTGAAACTGTGCTTGTGCTTGTGGATTTCAACGGCTTCCCTGTGCAATCTGACGTAATGATTGCTGGTATTGTCCAGTATTTCAGTATTTTGAAATAGAATTTCATGTCCAGTTTGTTTCAGGGCATGTTCAGCTACTGCAGATTTTTCTGGTTGTTTTAGTTTGCAGTGTCTCTCATGTTCTTTGATTCTGGTGTGGATGCTTCGTTTTGTGGTTCCAGTATATACCTGGCCACTACTGCAAGGTATCCGGTATACTCCTGCGGTGGTGAGGGGGTCCCTTCTGTCCTTTGCTGACCGTCTCCTGGGTTATACCAAAAGCCCTTCAAAATGATATCTTGTGTTTATGCCTGTACCTGATTGATACACTATTCCTTACAAGTGGTTTATATCTGCATGCAGAGTTATGTGTTTTCAACAAGGAGCCCACTCAGGAAGGGTGAGCACTGTGCTATAGATGCATGGATTGCCGTTTTCTATGAATTTAAGTGAGAGGACCCCAGTGTTTCTAGCAGAAAGTTTTGGATTATAACACTCATAATATCTCAGCCAGCATGCAATATGAAAAGGCTTCTCTCAAAACTCCTTATGGAGTCTTGCTCTTCCGTCTTTCATCAGCAGTCCTCCCCACTGTTAGTTGGAGCTGGGCCATAATTTGCCAATTTCTGTCTTACAGTCAGTGACTCAAGCCTCCTTTTTTTTTTTTAAGAATCCTTATTCATTAATAGGGAATGGCTCTTTCTCTTTGTGTGTGTGTGTGTGTGTGTGTGTGTTTGTGTGTGTGTGTGTGTGTGCGCGCGTGCGTGCGCTTGGCTATGGTCATGAGTCAATCCAGTTTTGTGACTTTTCATAGCTCGTGATCTGTGTCCTGGAAAAATTAACAACAAGAAACCAACCTAAGAAAATTAGAACCATCACTTTTTAAATAGTTGTCATTATGGCGTGGCCTTGCATTTGCAAGAAGCTGTGATCCTCAGACTGATATGCTGCTTTCTCCCTTTGCATTCAGCAGTTCTCAGCAGGCCATCATTGGACAGTTCATTTGAACATAACAAACTGCAGTTTGCCAAACTAGGATTGCAAATCAGGATCAAAATGTAGATAGTTTCTTTACATGGCACTATCAGTAAAGAAATGGCATAGGAAGGGAGGAAGCGAAGGAGGTTATATATGCCCGAGCATATTATGAAAAAAAATGGGATCTGTGCATGTCTCAGGTTGATGAAGTTGGATTGCTGCTTTCTGGCACTAGTTTCTCAATTCAAGAACATCTTTTGTTCTCTTTTCCATTTGTTTTAGTTGTGTTTTGATGTATTCAGGAAGGTCCATCTTGAACTTTGAGCTATGTAACTTTTGCAATGCTATTTTGGAGGTGATCTACAGTTTATTTAATTATGTTCAGACCAAACAAAACAAGAACTGAAGTAGAAGTGTATGATTGCCCATGTGTTTATGCCTGTCCACTGTCACTTGGTCTCTTGTAGTTGCCAATAAGATATATAATGTGAAGAGCAACACTTTAATTCCAACAAAGCAATAAACAGGTAGCTAAAAATTTAATTCATTTCCATAAAAATAAAAACAGATTTTAAAAAATCCGTTATGTTAAGGACCAGTTTGAAAAATCAGTTGGTATAAAATGAAGTGTATGAAATGCAGATGTTCCTGTTAAGTTTTATACTCCTCAGTTTAAACTTGAGTCATGACCTGAACCAATGTCAAATATAATATTATAACCTACTTCTCTGTACATTATTGCTCTTTTTAAAGTAAGAAACATTTGAATCTATGCTGTTCGTTTATAATTATAAACATTGACAGGTTTCACTTTTTTATGCCACATACAGTGGTGCCTTGAATTACGAACTTTTTCTGTTCTGGAATGGTGTTCACTGGTCGAAATGTTCGTAAGTTGAAGCACCATTTCCCATTGAAATACATGGGAACGGGATTAATCCGTTCCAATACTAGTTTAGAAATGACAAGGTGAATGTTAGCCGATGCTGAATTACCAAATAAATTTTGTGGTGAAGCTGCAATAACAATAACTTATAGTCAGTGAAGTACAGTGGTGCCTCGACTTACGAACTTAATACATATTGGAATGGTGTTCTTAAGTCAAAATGCTCATAAGTCGAAGCACCATTTCCCATTGAAATGCATGGGAATGGGATTAATCTGTACCAGCATTTATATACATATATATAAAGCACACAGAAAGCCGCATCGGAAGACGCTGACTTAAAAAAAACAACAACCAAAAATGAACAGAGCAAGCCTCGAAGGCTGCAAACAACAACAACAAAAACCACCCAAAAATAAACATTGAGCATAATAGCTGGGACTGAAAAAAAGTCACCAAAAGCAAACAATAACACAGCACAGAAACTTAACCCCCCTCAGCCAAAACTCACCCTGCAAAACCCACCCAGAAGTTTCTAAAAAGCAAAAAGCAGCACCTTAGCAGGCAGACTGATGCTTCCTCTGATGGCACTCACTCCCTGGCGGATGGTGGGCAGTGACAGGCCCCGGCCGGCAGCATAGCACAGCTGAGGCAGCAGTGGTGGGGCCAGTCATGGCATAGAGGGTCCTTACTCATGAGTAGACCCACTCCAGGGATGGGCAGGGAGTGCACCAGCTTCCTGCGCCCCGTGGTGATCCAGAGCTGCCCCCACCTCTCCTTCCTCCTCCTGCATTGCAGGAGTAAAAAAGTTCCCTGACCCCCTGCTCTAACTGTTGGGGTGAAAGAGCTACAAAGAAGCAGCCTCTTCTCCACCAACGGTTTGAATTTCCTGCCTTTCCCCCCTGCCTTTTTCTGTTCTTACACGAAGCTCTGCTCGCAAGTCAAAGCAAAATTTTGCGAGCGGAGCTGTTTGTAAGTCAAAATGTTCGTAGGTATGGGTGTTCATAAGTTGAGGCACCACTGTAAATGAATATTTATATATGTCTGTTAAGCAGTGTCATCATTATGTTCCCTCTCAGGGAGAAACCGTTTCACCCAGTAATTTGAGCAACACTTTTGCCTCGTGTTTGACCGCAGTTCAGCACATCAAATAAGGAACTGGAGTTTGTGCTCTGTTTTGAAATAAATAGCCTTCCTCAATACACATACAAGCCTAGGAATTTTTACATTTATGCAGTTTATGGAATGGTCTGCATAGAAGGTTGCAGGTATCTCTAAAGGATGTGTTTATGTTGTGCACAATACTTGAGGTTAGTAGAAAACCTTTATTAATGGTAACACTGTATACTTTAATTTTTTTAGGAACTCAAAAATAGGACGTGTTGCTTAGAAAACCATATGTTAGAAAAAGTGGCCAGTTGGTTTTAAATCAGTTATTTTTAATTCACCTTTTTTTCTTGATGATTGCAAATGCCTGATCTAGAGTCCCTTATCATTCTGCCTTGACTATAAATGAGACTCAATGAATGCAAGTTTGACTATATAGCTGTGAAAGATTTTGGATTTTGGTATACATATATCGGGGTGTGGTTTGTCAGTTTAGGATTTTTGGTCATCCAACACATAGTGGAATTGGTTTTATTGGATTTGAGTGCTCATTGAAGATACACTAATATAATTAATCTTGGTGTGTAATCATGGTACATGGGAATCCCCTAACGTTGTTATAAAAAGCATTCAAAAGTTAGCACTCTGGGCCTCCCTCAATACAGCCAAGTTGGAATCAAAATAGATAAATGGTTGACCTCTTCTTCAGGCTCTTGAGCAAACTCAACAGTTTTCACGAGGTTAATGATTTAAGGAAAGTAGTTAGTTCCCTGAGGAACTCAAAAACTTATAAAATATTGAATTTCAAGTGCATTCTGTGTCAGCTTATAAGCCCACAGTTGAAAAGCCCAGTGAATGTTCCCATAGAATTTAAGTTGAATACACATCTGTGGCTCCTGGTAACTATCAGCACCTCCATGTGGTGGCCTGTCTCCTGCTTTGAAAGCTTTGAGATGATATTTTGCTCACTGAAAATTGCCAATCTTTTCTATAGAATTACGGCCTCGAAACAGACAACATGAAGAACCTGGTTCTTAAGTTACGAGCTTCTTCCAACAATCTGCAAAATTACATCAGCAGCCGGAGAAAGAATTCCAATTACGATGGAAATACCTCACGTAAACCTCCCAATGAATTCCTTACTTCAGTGGTAGAGCTTATTGGTGCTGCTAAGGCTTTACTGACATGGCTGGACAGGTATGATATACTGTATATTTTTAAAAGAGAGAGAAAGCAGTTCATTTATTCTGAGATTTATATTTGGGTTAGTAGTGGAATTTCTCTTTTCCCCAGCCTGCTTTACTCCAACACATGTCCTCTGGCCAAGGCAGACTTAAGAAGAAGGGAGTGTATATCCATTTGTCTTGCATGGTTTCTTTGAATTCTTCTCTCATAATTAAAATATCTTTCTTGCTTTTAAGAGCATATTCTTATATGCTACCCTAAGGATAGATTCTGTAGAAGTATGGCACTTCATAAAATCATTCTAGAACCATATTACTTAAACAGCTAGACTACACTCAGTTTGTGAATGGCAGTGCAGTCTTATAATGTCTAGTCAGATGTAAGACCTAGTCAGATCATTGAGGCTAAATTCCAGGTAAGTGGGTATAGAATTGTGGCCTGAATTTTCTGTGCTGAAGGAAGATGGGTGGTGAATGGCCAGTCAAGAAAAGTGCTTTGAGGCAAGGAGGATGTTTTTATTTTCTGGCTAACGTTGTTGATTATGCTGTGGTGACAGCTGCTGTGGAAGATGACAAGTATCTGAGCAGATAATGCCACAGTTTGAGGGCTGGCAATAAATACAAAACCTCTTACATTCTGACAGCTGTTCAGAGAGCTCTGCTCATGAGACAGGAAGTACAGAGGAGACACCATGAGGGAGAGATTGTGGGAATGACAATATGAAGTGGAGATCTGTAATGACTTTGTTCCTAACCTTGAGTTGAATCTGTTGCTTTGCAGTTTGTTGCTTTTGTTTTTCTTCCATCCTTTTTTTAACTATCTAATTAAAAACCAATTGGACAAGTTAACTTGTTTACAAAGCTGCTCTGTGTTGTGACCTGTTGTGGTTTACTTCCTTCCATTTGTCTCTCTAAAATTAGTAAAGAAGTGCTGACCATAAAGAAGCCTGCAATTATCCTTTTAACTGATGAACTAAACATTCCCCCCACCAAAAACAAACAAAAATGTATTAAAAAGGTATACCAGCTTTCTTTTTCTTGATGAAAGCAAGCCATGGCAAAACATTGTTTAGCTTTCATCAGTGTATTTTTAAATAGCAGTTAGAAAAAAACTCTTAAGCACTAGCCAGAATCATATGGATCATTTACACAAGTGTAAGTGAAATGGTGTAAGTTTGGTTTGTACTCCTCATCTTCCAACTCATGAAACTGTTGTATGATGAGGAATATAAATAGTAACTCATTATGTAGCAGTAATTCACAGCTTTAAATTATCCCATTGTCATTACACCAATATAAAAAACCAATAAGATTCTGGCCATTTATTTCTTTGTTTAAGCTCAGGGTCCTCACTTTCTATAAATCTCAAGGAGGGATATGTAGCTCTCTCTCCTGTGCTTTCTCCTAATGACTTGGTGAGTCTCATAGCTGGAAAGGCTATGAACCCTGTCTCTTCAATCATGGCCAAGTACTTTCAACCACCTAACCACAATACTCCTTATTTAGCTATTGCTTGCTTGAAAGGCCAGTGTGAGTACAGAGAGGCTATGAGGTGACACAACAATATTCAGAGGACTGGTGGCACCTCGTTCTACAAAGCTCCTTCTGATTGCTTATAGGAAAATGTCTTCTGCAAGTAGGCTAGTGGACATGTCTAATTTTCCTGCACAATTTAGAGTTCTGCACAGTCAGCTGACATAAATACAGCACGCTCCACACTGATTCCAGAGCTGGGGAAAATTACTGGTTTGCGACTTGACCTCCCAAAGTGCTTAAGCCAGCATGGTCCAGTGTAGTTTATATATATATATATATTTCCGTATGATCTTGTGTAGACATTCACCCTGATTCCATAGGTGGCTGGGATGATGCCTCCCACCCCTATGCCAATGTAGTTAACACTTTGGAGCCATTTTGCACTTGGGTTGCACCTTCTTGTGAGCAGTGACTATGCAGGGCTAATGAGCCTCTGACTATTATTGCTTCCAACAACGTTCCAGAACAGCGTCAGAGAGTTTATTTTACAGTGTGTAAAAATTCAACTGAGGCAATTATTTGCTTATCATTGTGTACCCTTGTTATTCTGTGGGGCTGTCTATGAATGGTCATCAACAGTGACTCTTTTTTTCCGGCAAACACAGCAGATTTTTGTGTACATTAAGTTTTATCCCTTGATCTCTTGGCCAAAAGATAAAGATCGTTTTTTTGTCTTTGGAGTAGCAAAAAGCTCATCATTGTTTACTTTCTCCCACGAGTTGTCCCAAGCTTTTTGCTACTGCGTGAGAAAGAACAGTGCTCCAACTGATGATATTGTTGAGAAGAAGGAGAAAGAAAAACCCTTTCCCATCCTGATACCTATATTGGCCATGTATATAAACTGACAAATTCAGATTCTGCTTCCCTTTACTTTGTCCTGCAAGTGAATGGCTTTTTTGCATCACCTGTGGTGCTTGATAGACAAAGGTAAATGAGAACTTCAAGGATCCCTCTAGGAGAGAGATATTATAAGAGTTAGTACTATAGTTATATTTTGGGATTGAAGTTATATAGAGCAGAGGGACCCTTACACTATAAATCTGTCACAGCTGAAATAGTCCTAAATGGTCACTTGCAAGTTGCCCAACAAGTGGCTATAATAATAGACTATAGTTGGGTTGACAACATACATGACCTCTATTTTCTTCCCTGTTTTGCAGCTGGCTATGCCAAGCTTCTGTTCTTTTACATGCTTGAGGGGGTGAATACATTGCCCATTAAATGCCATTGGACTACAGCTCCTATAAGTCTTAGTCAGCATAGCCAGTGGTGAGATACCTTTTTCTTCATACAGACCACTGTATCTGTTCAGTCCTAACAGAGCTGTAACCCATCCAGATAAGAACTTGAGAAGCTATTAATCTTTCTTGGTCCATATGGTCAAACATCAGCGGGCAGAAAGCTCCCCAGAGCCTCATGTACTGTAGGCTGCTTTCACAAGTCCACCTAGCCATGGGAAGGGTTCATCATGAAACCTGCATGTCAAGCATGTGTTCTGCTACTGAGTTGCAGTCTTTTCCCTGTTTGTTACTGAAATACCCACCAATGTGGAACCGTATATGGACACAGCCTGGAGAAGTAGGACTACACCGTTTTTCTCTTCTAGATTTCCTTTACCTGCGGATTACCCCAGCTTTGGATAAAATGCCCCCAACTCCAGATAAGATGTCCGCACTGACTTAAAACTATTAGGTGGCATGCAGTAGGAAACACTGTTGCCTGAGACACTGGAGAATCACTGCTCAGCAGAGGACACAGGACTGGGCTAAATATACAAATAAGTTGACATCAAGCAATTTTGGTATGTTGTGAAGATGGATGTAACATAGCTTGGAGAAGTTACTTTCTGTATTACAGCTCACAGAATCTCCCAGCCGTCCAGCCTAGCCAGTGTCGCAATTCTGGCAACGGTAGTGCAAAAACAAGCAAACAGTTGTGACTAACATTTCTAATGTCATCAATGTGCTAAAGGCTTTCTGTTCAAGGGTGCTGGGCAGGGTATTTCCCTCTCTGCCTTTCTTAGGGACAAGGGTCATTGGTGGGAGTTTGAAAGGGGAGAAGTTCTTAAAGCACACTTTTACACACTGGAAGTGCCATCTTGTACTAACCAGCTGTGTGGTTTGTATTTTGCTTCTGCTGGTGGCACAGGCCCCCTCTGGAGTACAAGCATTAAAATAGTAATGTAATACTGCCATTAATATAATGCAAAGTTGTAGAAATATTAATGAAATCTAGCTTGTAGAGACCATGCTGAGGAACCCACCTTTGCCTTTTCCTTACTCTGTATAGGCACTCACTTGTGTCCCATAGCTGATTGGGAGAGGGTTCTACAAATGGGCTCGTCGGTGGCAATTCTCCTGCCCGCCTGCCCCAGTGTTTCTTTGGAATACGCAGGGAATGGTTGTGCTGCCTTGATTTTTGTGAGGAGGATAATTTGTAAGAGAGCAGGGGAGAGCGAACCTCTTTCTGCAGTGTGAAACAAGAGACAGCTGCCTTCCTGACAAGGCCTGTGCTGTGGTTGGAGGATGGGGGGGGGACACATTATTGCCTGTTTTTCATGCTAATATGGTGGGGGGAGAGGAAAGAAGCTGCACAGGTCCTTCTCACTGTCTGTTCCTTCTGAAGTGACTGCACTCTGGAGGAGCCATCAAATGAGGGAAACAGATGCTCTTGCCTCTTTTCTTTATCTCCAAAGTCCCGGAAAGACAAAGAATGCTGACGCCCCGTCTTTGAGTGAGCTGTCCTTTCCTTCTGCAAGGGCTTCTGTCTTTTTTGTAAACCACTAACGTGGGGAATGTGTTTCATGTTTCAAACAAACTTTTGTTTTGCCCACCGCAGGGGCAGATTGAGCAACATTGGTAGTAGCTTTTGGTTCTCAATGGGTTCATAGCAGCTTCCACTGAGTCCAGAAATTGAGACAGGTCCTGCCTCTGATAGGCAGAGGGCTTAGCCAAAGGTAGGTCTCACTGGCAACCAGAAAGAAGAATTGGCTAGTAGGAAAATGTTTTCATTCCTAGTTAAGGCATTAATATGGATTAAGCAGCCATGAAGAATTAGTGCTGACTAAGAAGATTGACAGTGATCATAGTCAGAACTTGGATTTTTAAAAAACTTTTTTTGGTCTATAACTTCCAGAAATCTCCTAGCCAAATAATAATAATAATAATAATAATCATAATCATAATCATAATCATAATAATA